CCTGGGTTCACGCTATTCTCCTGCCTCAGCCTCCGAGTAGCTGGGACTACAGGCACGCACCACCATGCCCGGCTAATTTTTTGTATTTTTAGCAGAGACGGGGTTTCACCGTGTTACCCAGGATGGTCTCGATCTCCTGACCTCGTGATCCGCCCGTCTCGGCCTCCCAAAGTGCTGGGATTACAGGCTTCAGCCACCGCGCCCAGCCAATGCCTTACATATTCTTATCCCATATCCAGAGTAGACTCTGGTATTTTCCCCCTGTTTATAAAAAGTTCACTTATGTACTGACTTGCTTATGTGACTCTAATAGGGTAAAACACCTTCACCTCGTGCTGCCCATGCCTGTGCAACTGTCGGAAATAGAGGCTTTGTGTTTGGAGGCAGATATCGAGTAAGTATTTAAACAACTTCAATGACTTGCTTTTGAATTCTTCAAAATGATAACTTAATTATCCTTTTCTAGGATGCTAGAATGAATGATCTTCACTATCTTAATCTGGATACATGGGAGTGGAATGAATTGTAGGTATCGCTTTAGATAAGTTTTTCCAAAATTCAGATTGTTTTTACCCTATATTCCCTACTATTGATATATAATGTCCTTGCTTAACTTTTCTGTAACTATGAAATTAAATAAACATAATTACTAGGTCCTTAAGGAATGAATTTTAGTTTTCTGTTTCCGGTTCCCGTAACTGTGTGCCTAGTACATAGCATGTGCTGTTTGTTGAAAATAAAAGGTCTGAAGTCGATTCTATCTTCAAAGAAAATATTTCAGTATAAAGCATGTAGTTTATACCAAGAAGCCTTTTTAAACTTAAGGTCTCTTTTTCCATAACATGTACATATAAATTTTAAAAGAAAACTTAAAAATACAGTAGCTGCTTCTAAATGCAGATATTGTAACTTAGCTGTTATTTTCAGAATTCCACAAGGCATATGCCCAGTTGGCCGATCTTGGCACTCACTAACACCAGTTTCTTCAGATCATCTTTTTCTCTTTGGAGGATTTACCACTGATAAACAGCCACTAAGTAAGTCCTTGAAAAATATGATAACGAAATCATCATATATCATCTATATATAATAGCTGAAAATGAGTCTATTAGAGACTTACGAGAGGGCTTATAGGGTTGGTTAGAAGGTGTGAAATTAACTTTGATCCTGTAACATAGCTATAATTGTACTATATGGCATACTTCTGCTCAATAAAGAACCTGGAGCACTTAAGAGCCCTGCTGAAGGGCTATAACATGCAAAGGGCTTACTTGGTTAATTGCAGGGGAAAAAAGAAAAGAAAATATACGCTCTGTAGCTACTCATGATCTGATTTATTACCTTTCTTGCCAAAACGGTGCCCTTTAAATGTCAATGTCATATTGGTAGACTAATATACTTCATAGCTCTTTTTTCTTTGCTTTAATCAGGTGATGCCTGGACTTACTGCATCAGTAAAAATGAATGGATACAATTTAATCATCCATATACTGAAAAACCAAGGTATTTAAAGGCAATTCTTATACTGAATATGCACAAGATGTAAGAATTGAGGTTTTGGCTGCATTATATCCAGCATTCTTATTTATAAAAATCTTAGCATTCACTAAGGTTTGAAATACTTCTTAATGAAAAGAAAACCAATGTTATCCTAGTATTAAATGCTTTCCTTTCCATCATCTGTGTATGAAGAATAGGGGTGGAATTTTAGTTTTGCTGCTTCCTTCCATTATAAAATTGACACATAGTTAAAATATACAATCACGCTTTTCACTTCAATGAGTTGAACTGCATCTAAGTTTATTAAAAATGAGGGTCAGCCAGGTGTGGTGGCTCACACGGGTAATCCCAGCACTTGGGGAGGCCAAGGCAGGCAGATCACCTGAGGTCAGGAGTTCCAGCCTGGCCAACATGGTGAAACCCCATCTCTACTAAAAATACAAAATTAGCTGGGCATGGTGGCACATGCCTGTAATCCCAACTACTTGAGAGGCTGAGGCAGGAGAATCGCCTGAACCAGGGAGGTAGAGGTTGCAGTGGGCTGAGATCGTGCCATTGCACTCCAGCTTGGGCAACAAGAGCAAAACTCTGTCTTCAAAAAAATAAAAAGGGTAGAGGTGCTGGAATGGGTAAAATTTTTAAACCTTAATCACATGGGAGGCCAGGTGCAGTGGGATTGCAGAATTACAGCTGTAATCCCAGCACTTTTGGAGGCTGAGGCAGGCAGATTGCTTGAACCCAGGGGTTCAAGACCAGCTTGGGCAACATGGCAAAACCCCATCTCTATAAAAAATAGAAAAATTTAGCTAGGTGTGGTAGCATATGCCTATAGTCCCAGCTATTCAGGAGGTAGAGGATGCAGTGAGCTGAGATTGCACCACTGCACTCCAGCCTGGGTGACAGAGAAAGACTGTCTCAAAAAAAAAACGCTACATGGGGAAAAAACAAGAACTGTCCATTCAATTTACAGTAGCACTGTATAACAAAGATGAAGAAATCAAATCATCCAAAAAGAAGAGCTTATTAAACACCGATAATTTTCTCTTGTTAATCTCAAAACAAAATGCTAAAAGAAATGATACGGTCAGAATTAGTGTTCAAAGCCTGCATTTTTTCCCCGAGCCTCTAAACCAAGTATAGTCATGCCAGTAAGACTTCATTTGCACAAATGATCTCTCCATAACACTACCAGGCTTTCTGAGACTTTATAGTTTACTCAAGCAGGGCTTTCACCATCCCTCAGATGTTCTGTGTAAGGCCAGTTGGCCCTACCTATGGAAGAAGGCATATACCACTCAGCTCCCATACGACTTTTATTGCTAACAAAGACCTAGAGAACAGATCGTTCAGTTCAAACTCCTCATTGCATAAATGAGAACTGACCAGAGAGATAAAATAATATCCAGATAAAATAGATATTGATTGATCTGCTTTTGCTACTTTCCCTTAAGATTTTACTTCTAAAACAAACAAACAAAAAGGAGATTTTACTTCTCGCTATGATGTTTTGGTCTGAACTACCTTAAGATCTCTAGTCTTTATTTCATAGCTCAAATGACCAGCTGGCGTTCTGGGTGACTTCAGACTCAAGTTTTTGTTTTAAATGCAGGTTATGGCACACAGCTTGTGCCAGTGATGAAGGAGAAGTAATTGTTTTTGGTGGATGTGCCAACAACCTGCTTGTCCATCACAGAGCTGTAAGTATACTACCTTCATATTATTACTGAAACTTACTTGCAAAAAAAAAAGCATTTGCTTTTAAATGTGTTCTTCCTATGTTTCAGGCACACAGTAATGAAATACTAATATTTTCAGTTCAACCAAAATCTCTTGTACGGTAAGTTAACTTTGTACTTGGCACTTAGATTATTTAAAATTGTTTCCTAAGACTTAGCACTCTCAAAAAACCAGGTTTATGGGTTATTTAAGGGCAATAATAAAACTTCATTGCTATAACCAGTTCCTATGAAAATCTTAGAAGAAAGAGGGATGTTTTATGTAGTTTTTCAAGTGAATGTACTTCTAAACAGTAAAGTGAAATTACTTTTCTCTTTGCTTGTCCACTTTCAGGCTAAGCTTAGAAGCAGTCATTTGCTTTAAAGAAATGTTAGCCAACTCATGGAACTGCCTTCCAAAACACTTACTTCACAGTGTTAATCAGAGGTTTGGTAGTAACAACACTTCTGGATCTTAACGCTTCATAAATAATGCCTGTGATCACCTTGCATGGACAGCAATCCTGTAAACATCACAGAGTGGCATCATTTGTATAATTATATGCATTGTTGTAGTTTGCAGCTTTTGGTTTTAATGTGCATGTGAATGGCCTAGAGAACCTATTTTTGTGTCTATAAAGTTTACAATAAATGTATTTAACACCAGTAGCTGTCCTCTATTAAAGTAAAAGAAAAGTAATGGTTGGGCTTTTTACCCTGGAGAATGGTTGTTACATTTCCTTTTCGGTAACTTCAGGATATATATCTGTAGAAACATTATACTAAATAGTCTTACCATCATCAAAATGCTGAAGTCATTTTTTAAAAACATTATAGATTTTTTTTTTAATGGCAAGAGTAGTCTATAATCATGTAACCTAGTGTTGTAAATACAACATAATAAAGGGTTTTTTTTTTTTTAAACATTAATATTCACATTATGACGAGGCTGGGAAAACAAAGTGTGGAGGGACCAACAACTATGTAGTACTTTGACCTTAACGCTCCAGCGCAGCAGCTGGAGCAGGTGGTCATGCTGAATACAGGCAGGTGTTGTCCAGTCAATTACAAATTTTTTTTTTAATTAATTAAAAAGTTTTGTAGCTCATGAAGGAATGGAAATAATGATGATTTCATTTTCCATTCTGTTAAGAGACAGGAAAAGTGGGTCAGAGTCTTTAGTGGTAAGCCTTAAAATGCACTTCTGGTATTATAGGTTAAGATGCTCTGTAACGTGCTATATTGGTAATTAATTAGTAAAGGTGGAAATTAAAATGGTACAGAACTGAATGAGACTACAAGGAAAAAAATAAGATCAAACCTGAAGGTCTACAAATGAATAGAAATGATTAACACCAATTTCTTCTAGGACTTACTAAGCTGAGTCATGAGAATTATTACTTACATTTTACATTTTGGTCTAATATATTTTTTGACAAGTATAGATGAAAGCAGAAGAAAATCCACTCCAATACTTAGTTTTCAAGACACAATCCTAAATACACCCCTGTGGCCGGCCCGTAATATATATATTAGATGTTATATACAGTAGACTTACCAAGTCAGTAGTCTAAGCAATCAAGCCACTTCACTGTTGTTTCTTTACATCATGAAATGAATACTTGGTATTAACCTCCCAAATGTCAAGAAAATGTAGAATAATTACAGATGTATATAATTAGCATTTAACTATCCACAAATACTTTAGGAAATCCTATCATAGACAGTGTTTCCTCTATATAAAACTGGGAAAAAAACAAGAATTAAGTCCTTTTGGTGAATATAGCAAGGCAATGTTTAGTTCATTTTTATAATGCAGAAGTCCTGATACATGGTGTTTTCATCTTTGAACTTCCAAAAGGCTATAAAATTGGCTCTTCTCAAATATTTTAGAATTTCATTTCAGCTATTTCCTTTTTACATTCAGAAGATTGGGTGCAGACACTTTCACTTTGCCAGGAATGTTTCTTGATAAATCTGTGTCCTAAAAAAAGAAAATTGCTGAATATCTTCACATCCTGTATAGTCAATCATGTTTCTTTTATGACAAAAAAGAAAAACATTTCCAAACTTTTAGCTGAAATGGTATTACTGCTTCTAATAAGACAGCATTTTCTACTAAAATAACAAAAACTGCTAACATTTTAAATTGTACTGTCAGTCTCCACATTCCTTTTCTGAAGGAGAACTTTACCTTTACGCTGCGGAATAAGTCTTTTTCTCTTGCTGTTGCTTCTTTGGAATGCATGAAACTATTCAAGGCTGTTTTTGCAGCTGTAAATTTTAAAAAAGTAAGAATAATCTACTCCTGTTAAGTCACTGAACTGTTTAAAATCATAATTCAAAAAAACAAATTTAAATACCTTTTCCCTTTTTCTGCACTCCAGGAGTAAGTTTCACTTTATATCTTTAAAAAGGAATTACATGTGTTACTAAATAGACATTACAAAACAATTCACAAAAGCCATTCTGTCAACTAATGGTAACTTACTTGTAGTTTGTCATGGTGGTGTAAGGGGCACATATTGGAATGGCAAACAGTAGTACATCTTCAGGATGTGGCTGGCCTGTCAAAGAATCAAATAGGTTTTCCTAAAAAGGGAAAGTAACAGTTACAAAAGCAATTTATACCACTCTTTAAAAAAAAAATGCAAAAACACTTGAATTAATATCTCAACATATTTTTTATCTTTTTCTGATACATATACCATCTAAGCTGGAACAGTCGTGCTTAAACTCTGCTTCATAGTTCCAAAGAGTTGAAGACCAATGTTTAAATATATTCTTTACTACTTAATTTTTGCCTAGCATAATAAGTAATGAGAACAATAATTTTCAAAATACTACCTACAGTTCCATTTAAGAGAAAGAAGGCCCAGGAGCAGTGGCTCACACCTGTAATCCTAGGACTCTGGAAGACTGAGGCTGAGACGGGTGGATCACTTGAGCCCAGGAGTTCAAGACCAGCCTGCCTGGGCAACATGGAGAAACCCCACTTCTAAAAAAATACAAAAATTAGCTGGGCATAGTGGTGGGTGCCTGTAGTCCCAGCTACTCGGGAGGCTGAGGGGGGCGGATCACCTGAGTCCAGGAAGTAGAGGTTGTGGAGAGCCATGATCCTGTCACTGCACTGAGTGACACCAGCCTGGGTGACAGAGACCCTATCTCAAAAAAGAAAAAAACTATTGTATATTACCTGAGTTGCAGAAACCTGTTATGGATTTAAATGATGCAGTAATAACCACAAGTAGATTTAAGTCCCATCATATGGAAATGGGACTAATACCTTGGCTACACTACTATTTCTCGACCTGGGGAGATTCTGCCCTCAGAAGACAATGGGCAATGTCTGGAGATAGTTTTGGTTGACATGATGAGGGGTGAGAAGGAAGAGGTAGGGGCTGCTACTGGCATCTAGTGGGTAAAGGCCAAGGATGTCGCTAACCATTTTATAATGAATGGGACAGACCCCACAACAAAGAATTAACCAACCCCTAATGTTAATAGTGCCAAAGCTGAGAAACCCTAGGCTAGAACAGCCTTCTCTCTTCCCCATTATTAAGGAGAAATCCCAGAGCTTCTTAGAGTCCTTATTTGCTGTGCTACCTGTGAGATTGCCCCCATTTATTTAACAATATGAATAAACTTATAGATTTAGGACAGAATACTTGGTGCTGAAGTATAACTGATATTTGAGTGTTTGCTATGTGCCATAAACTTTTCTAAATACCCTTTACATATATTAGTTATCAAAACAACCCTCTCCTGGGTAGGGACATTATCCCCATTCTTCAGATAAGGAAACTGAGGCACAAAGAATAATGTTTCCAAGTTTGTACAGTTACATACAGCAGAGGTGGGATTAAGACCCTGAAAGTTTGACTTCTTAACCTGCAGTCTTTTTTTTTTTTTTTTTGGAGACGAAGTGTCGCTGTGTCGCCCAGGCTGTAGTGCAGTGGCGCGATCTCGGCTCACTACAAGCTCCACCTCCCGGGTTCACGCCATTCTCCTGCCTCAGCCTCCCGAGTAGCTGGGACTACAGGCGCCTGCCACCACGCCCGGCTAATTTTTTTGTGTTTTCAGTAGAGACGGGGTTTCACCGTGTTTGCCAGGATGGTCTCGAACTCCTGACCTCGTGATCCGCCCGCCTCGGCCTCCCAAAGTGCTGGGATTACAGGCGTGAACCACCATGCCCAACCTATCTAATACATTTTACATGATAGAAGTGTTTGATTTTTTTTCAGATTTTGGGATATTTGTATTATATACTTAACAGCTATCTCTAATCCAAAGATCCAAAATGCTCCAATGAGCATTTCCTTTCAGTATCATGTTGGCACTCAAATTTTCAGATTTTGGAGCATTTCAGATTTTGGATTTTCTGATTACAGATACTCAACCTGTAATTAAATAACTCTGCACTAGATAGGAACTTGTATTACTTAAATATTAGATTTCTTTTCCCTCTGACACAGGTATTATATAATATGCCAGCCTTTATTTTAAAAGAGAAAAAATAAAGCAGCCTGTTATGTTAGCCAGCCCATTCAGTAGCACATCTCAAAAA